GGATGGGATAGGGAATGGGGACACAGGGGACATGGGGATGTGGGGGACATGGTGATGTGAGGACATGGGGGACAGGGGACAAGGACACTGGGGACAGAGCATGGGGATGCCGGGCCGGGCATGGGGACATAGGGGATACAGGAACAGGGGCCCAGGGACATGGACAGGGTGCTGGGGACACCCCGTGTCCCCATGTCCTAATGTCCTCTGTCCCCAGCCACGCCGGCGCCCAGCGAGCGCGGGGACGGGCCAGGGCCACCCCCGGACAGGGACGACGGTGACACCAGGGACGAGAAGGAGCCTAAAGGCCCTGAGAAGATGGAGACAGAGGTGGGTGACAGGGCTGTCCCCAAGCCTGTCCTCCTTGTCCCTGTCTGTAGTGATGTCTTCCCTGTCCCTGGTGATGTCCTCCCTGTCCCCATCCCTGTCGCCAGTCGTGTTCTCCTTGTCCCCAACTCTGTCCCCATCCTTGTCCCTGATCATGTCCTCTCTGTCCTCAACCCTGTTCCCAATCATGTCCTTGTTGTCCCTGTCCCCAATCGTGCCCTTCCTGTCCCCAACTCTGTCCCATCCCTGTCCCCATCCTTGTCCCCAGCCCTGTTCCCAATCATGTCCTCATCCCTGTCCCCAACCCTGTCCCTGTCCCTGTCCCCCATGGTGTCCTCCCTGTCCCCAACCCTGTCCCTAGTCATGTTCTTTGTCCCCAACTGTCCCAACCCTGTCACCACCCCATCCCCACTCATGTCCCCCAGCCCTGTCCTCCTCCCCTATCCTTGTCCTTGTCCCCAACCCCGCCTCTGTCCCCAACGCTGTCGTCACCCTCCTGTCCTTGTCCCTGTCCCCTCTCTGTCCTCCCACCCTGACCCTGTGTCCCCTCCTGTCCCCATCCCTGTCCCCTCTGTCCTTGTCCCCTCGCTCCCCATCCCTGTCCCCTCCCCACCATTGTCCCCATGTCCCCCTCCGGTCACTCTGGGGGTACAGGGTGGGGGGAATGTCATGATGGGGGTACCCAGGCATCCGGGGTGATGCCACCCATCCCCACCCCGTCCCCACAGCCTCCTGTCCCCGAGATGCCACCGTCCCCAGGCGATGGCAGCGAGGCCGAAGGGCCGCGGAAGGGGGAGGAGGAGGAGGGACCTGGCCAGCGGGAGCCCGAGGCCGAAGGGCCCCCGGCCCGCGAGGAGCGAACAGGTGAGCCCCCACCCCGGCCCCATCTTGGGTGTCCAGGGCACCCAGGGATTTGGGTGCCCCCCTCCACCACCATCCCTCTAAGGCACCCAGGGCTTTGGGTGCCCCCCCCCAAATCCCCCAGGCCACCCAGGTGTCCGAGCACCCCTGTCCCTCCCTACAGGCTCCGAGGCTGAGAAGGGTCCCGGGGGAGAGAAGGGCGACGAGAAACCCCCTGAGGAGGAGCCCAAGGAGCGGCCGGGGGATCTTGACCCTAAACGAGGTACCTGGGGGCGGGGCTTGACTGCAGGGGGCGGGGTCTAGCCCACCCAGGACTGCAGCCAAGTCAGAAGGGGCGGGGCTTAACCAAAGGGATGTGCCTGGAGCGCTCTGCTCTTAACCTTGTTGCATTCACTCTGAAGCCTACTGATGGCTGATAACGTCTTCCTGCTTACTGGGGCGGGGGGGAGCTTGGGGTGGTTTGGGGAGGTCAGAGTGGGGTTGCAAAATGGCACTGACCCCTGTGTGTCCCCCCACCATGCAGAGGAGGTGAAGGCCGAGAAGGAGCCCAAGCTGGAGGCGCGTGCCAACGGCCGGCGGGATGACAAAGCCGAGAAGCCGCGCTTCATGTTCAACATCGCCGATGGCGGCTTCACAGGTGAGTGGGTGACGGGGCCGGGGAGGGGCCGGGGGGGACACACGAGGGTTCCCGCTTCCCTGACACCCCCACCTGCAGAGCTGCACACGCTGTGGCAGAACGAGGAGCGTGCCGCCATCTCCTCGGGGAAGCTCAATGAAATTTGGCACCGGCGCCACGACTACTGGCTGCTGGCCGGCATCGTCCTGTATCCTTCTGGCACGTGTGGGTGTCCCCCGTCCCCAGCACGTGTGGGTGTCCCCACTCCGGCACACGTAGGTGTCCCCTCCCCGGCACGCACGGGTCCCCTCGTGGCACTCCTGGGTTCCCCCACGGGTGCTGTCATCCTCCCCAGGTTTGGTGGTGGTGGCAGCACCAAGGAGGGTGACACTAGGGTGGGGGTGACCCAGGGGCGAGTGACGCAAAGGCAGTGGTGATGTTGGGGACAGTGGTGATGGTGACACTGGGAGCAGTCTTCATGGGGAGGTGATGGAGGAGGAGGTGATGTTGGGGACACAGTGACGTGGTGGCTGTCCTTAGCAGCCACGACTCCGTGTGCTAGCGGGGGTGACCTGGGCAGGGGTGAGGGTGACCTTGGTGATCCGGTGACAGTGACACCGTGACAGTAACACAGTGACAGGGTGACAGTCCTTAGCACACAGCCGCGGTTCCAAGCGCTGAACAGAGATGACCTTTGGGGGGGACAAAAGGAACACTGGGGCAGGGTGACACCATGAGGGTGATGTGGTGATGGTGATGCGGCAGTGACACGGTGACAGTCCTTAGCATGGGGGGGCTGAGAGGATGTTGGGGATAGGGCAACGCAGTGATAGTGATGTGGTGATGTGGTGAAGGTGATGCAGTGATGGTGACAACGGCATTGGTGACACAGTGACAGTCCGTAGTGTGCAGCCACAGCTCCGCGTGCTGGACGGGGGAATGACCTGGGGGTAATGAGGGGGATGCTGGGGACAGGGTGACGTGGTGATGGTGACGCAGTGATGGTGATGCGGTGGTGACACAGTAATGTTGACATGGTGACAGTCCTTAGCATGCAACCACAGCTCCGTGTGCTGGAGGGGGGATGACCTGGGGGACAAGAGGGAGACGTTGGGGACGGGGTGACATGGTGACGGTCATGCAGTAACGTGGTGATGTTGTGGTGGTGACACAGTGACACGGTGACAGTCCTTACCGTGCAGCCGCGGCTCCGCGTGTTGGATGTGGGATGATGTGAGGGGGAATGACAGGGACGTTGGGGACAGGGTGACATGGTGACACGGTGACATAGTGATGGTGATGCAGTGGTGATACGGTGACGTGACGCTGATGGGGTGACAGTCCTTAACATGCTTCCACGTCTCTGTGTGCTGGCTGGGTGATGACCTGGGCAGGGACAAGGTGACATGGTGACAGTGACACAGTGACACGGTGATGGTGACGTGGCGGTGGTGACATGGCAGCAGCCCTTAGCACACAGCCACGGCTCTGCGCGCTGGATGTGGGGGTGAGGGGGACGCTGGGGACAAGGTGATGTGGTGACACGGTGATGTAGTGACATGGTGACAGTCCTTAGCGCGCAGCCAGAGCTCTGTGCACTGGACAGGGGATGATGGGAGGGGGTGAGAGGGACACTGGGGACAGGGTGACGTGGTGATGGTGATGCAGTGACTCGGTGATGCGGTGGTGATGCAGCGATGATGCGGTGATGGTGACGTGGTGGTGACAGTGCTGTGGTGACAGTCCTTAACACGCATCCACACCTCCATGCACTGGCTGGGTGATGACCTAGGGGATGTTGGGGACAAGGTGACATGGTGACGTGGTGGTGATGGTGACACGGTGATGTGGTGATGGTGACACGGTGATGTGGTGATGGTGACGCAGTGGTGGTGACGAGGCGGCAGCCCTTAGCACGCAGCCACGGCTCCGCACGCTGGATGTGGGGGGTGAAGGGGGAACGTTGGGGTGACACGGTGACAGAGTGACACGGTGACACGGTGACAGTCCTTAGCGCGCAGCCACGGCTACGCGCGCTGGACGGACATCCAGAACGACGGCGCCTTCGGGGTCATCAACGAACCCTTCAAGGGCGAAGCCTCCAAGGGAAACTTCCTCGAGATGAAGAACAAGTTCCTCGCACGCCGCTTCAAAGTGAGTGCACGAGGGCTCGCACGAGGGTTTGCACGAGGGTTGCGCTTGCACGGGGCTGGCTCCAGCCTGGGGCTCGTGCCAGGGCGGTGCTGGTACAAGGAGCATGTGCGGCGGTTGCTTTTGCGCCGGGGGCTTGCATGAGGGTCTCGCACGAGGGTCTCGCGCTAAGGTTGGGCTTGTGCCGAGGGCCTCACACAAGGGCCGGTTTCAAGCCGGGGGTCCGCTGCCTTGTACCAGGGGCGTGCTCAAGGGCCGCGCTTGCGCAAGGGGCTTGCATGAGAGCTGCGTACGTGCAAGAGTGGCACTTGTGTAAGGGCTGCGCTCGCACGAGGCTTTTGCACAAGGGCCTCGCACGAGGACTGGGCTCGTGTGAGGGCTGGGCTCCTGTGAGGGTTCGGCTTGCACAAGGGTCTGGGCACAACAGGTTCTTGCACAAGTGCCCAGGTAGGGGGGGAGGTGGCCATGGAAAGGGGGCAGAGCTTGCACGTGGGCTGCACACAAGAGGGTGGGGCTTGGCCAATGAGGGGCCTCGTGCAAGAGGCTGGCGGGGGGGGAGGGGGGGGGGCGTGGTCAGTGCTGGGTGCTTGGACGCCTGGGTCCTTCCTTGGCCTTGTTGGGGTGTGAAGTCAGAGTTGGGTGCCCAGTTGCCTGGGTGCTCTAAGCGATGGGTGAGGTCAGAGTCGGGTGCCTGCATGGCCGCGTCCTCTAAGTGATTGGTGAGGTCATAGGCGGGTGTCTGGATGCCTGGGTGCTCTCTGGGCCTTGTTGGGGTGCGAGGTCAGAGTTGGGTGCGTGGGTGTCTGGGTCCTCTCTGGGACTTTTTTGGGTGTGAGGTCAGAGTTCGGTGTCTGGATGCTTGAGTCCTTCCTGGGCCTTGTTGGGGTATGAGGTCAGAGCTGTGTGGCCGGATACCTGGGTCCTTCCTTGGCCTTGTTGAGGTGTGAGGTCAGAGTTGGGTGCCCGGATGCCTGGGTCCTTCCTGGGCCTTGTTGGGGTGTGAGGTCAGAGTTGGGTGCATGGACACCTGAGGTCAGAGTTGGGTGCCCGGACGCCTGGGTCCTCTCTGGGCGTTGTTGGGGTGTGAGGTCAGAGTTGGGTGCTTGGACACCTGGGTCCTCTCTGGGTGTTGTTGGGGTGTGAGGTCAGAGTTGGGTGCCCGGACACCTGGGTCCTCTCTGGGCGTTGGAGTGTGAGGTCAGAGTTGGGTGCCCAGTTGCCTGGGTGCTCTAAGCGATGGGTGAGGTCAGAGTTGGGTGCTTGGACGCCTGGGTCCTTCCTTGGCGTTGCTGGGGTGTGAGGTCAGAGTTGGGTGCATGGATGCCTTCAGAGTTGGGCGCCTGCATACCTGGGTCCTCTAAGCGATGGGTGAGGTCAGAGCTGGGTGCCCGGACGCCTGGGTCCCCTGCGCCACCCTTCTCCCTTTCTGGTCGTCCCCCCCCAGCTACTGGAGCAGGCGCTGGTGATCGAGGAGCAGCTCCGTCGTGCCGCCTACCTGAACATGACGCAAGACCCGAGCCACCCCGCCATGGCCCTCAACACCCGCTTCGCCGAGGTCGAGTGCCTGGCCGAGAGCCACCAGCACTTGTCCAAGGAGTCGCTGGCGGGCAACAAGCCCGCGAACGCCGTCCTGCACAAGGGTAAGAGGCGGGTGGGCCGGCGCGCCCGGCGCGGACGCCCCGTGTAGCGCCTCGCACCTCTGTACCGCGCTCTCAATCATTAAAGTGGGGTTCTCCTCCCAACCGGCTCCCGGTGTATCCTTGCTCTGCGTGTGCTTTCTGGCGGCCGGAGGGGGGGGGAGGGGTGCAGGGGGGTGGCGGGGCAGCTGCTGGAAGGTCCCTGAGGGGTTTTTGGGGTGTGAGTAAACCCGGAGTAAGCTCGGAGTAAGGCGGGGTGTGGATTTAGGGCGGCCACGGGGCTCCGGGGTGCGTGAGGAGCAGGCGGGTGCCTCTGTCGCTTTGCGCTAAGATGTATCTGCTGAGTGTCTGTAGTGTAAGTCTGGAGTATGTCACTAGTATGTCCCATGTACTTCTGGAGTATGTAATGTATTTACCCAGAGTATTTGGGGGGCATGGAAGGAGTATATTCTGAGTATCCCGGTGGCCAGAGTAGCCCTGGTGCATGTAATGAGTAAGCCTGGAGTAATGCTGATGTACGGACGGGGTCTCCCTGCTTGCATGTCACGGCTTTGCCTGGAGTATCCCTGGGGTATGGGCAGTGTTTTCCCAGAGTACTTCTGGTGTATGCCCAGAGTATCTCTGGTCTATTTAATGAGTAAGCCCGGAGTACTCCAGAGGAATGTGCTGAGTATAGCCCAGAGTATCTCTGGTGTCTGTAATGTCTTTGCCAGCAGTATCACTGGAGTAAGCAGTGAGTATCATTGGTGTAGGCTGATGGATCTGTGCAGAGGATCTCTGGGGCCCAGAGGAACTCAGGGGCTGTGTAATGAGTATCCCCAGAGTATCGGTGATGTGGCTGCAGCCTCTTAGCCCTGAGCAGGAGCAAGTGATGAGGATGCCCAGAGTATCTCTGGGGTGGCTATGGCATGGATCTGGAGTATTTCTGGTGTATCCAAGGAGTATACCTGGAGTATCTTTAGTGTGTCTAAGGAGTATATCCAGAGTATCTCCGGAGTGCTTAAAGAGTGTATCCAGAGTGTCTAAGGAGCATACCCAGAGTATCTCTGGTGTATCTATAGAACATGCCCAGAGTGACTAAGGAGTATCCCCAGAGTATCTCAGGTGTCGCTAAACATTATACCTGGAATAGCTCTGGTGTGTCTAGAGAGTATCCTGGGGTGTTTAAGGAGTATGTCTGGAGTATCTCCAGTGTAGCTACAGTGTAGACCCTCAAGTGCCTAAGCTTGGAGTATCTCTGGTGTCTCTAATAGAGCATACCCAGAGTAGCTCCACTGTGTCTAGACTGTAGACCTCAAGTATGTGAGGAGTACGCCCAGAGTATCTCTGGTGTGTCTAAGGAGTATACCCACAGGGTCCAAGGAACACACCCAGAGTATCTCTGGTGTGTCTAAGGAGTATGCCCAGAGCGTGTGAGGAGTACACCCAGAGTATCTCTGGTGTGTCTAAGGAGTATACCCAGAGTGTAAAGAGTAAACCTGAAGTATCTCCAGTGTGTCTAGAGAATATACTCAGAGTAAATAGTATAACCCGAGTATCTCCAGTGTGTGTAAGGAGTATGCCTGGAGTGCGTAAAGAGTACACCCAGAGTACTCAAGGCTCATACCCAGAGTACCTCGGAGTCCTCCCACCCTGGAGCATGCCCCCGCTCCCTGCCGGTGCATCCCCCGAGTAGGTGCATCCCCCCCTGCCCCCGCCCCGAGTATCCCTTGAGTAGCTCTCAGGCTTCCCCTCCCTCTCCCCACCCCACTCCCTGTTCTCACGTGACTATCTCCACCCCGCCACCCCCTTCCAGTAGCCTCTGAGTAACCTATGAGTAACCTATGAGTAAGTTGTGAGTAGGCACGGGGCGGCCCCCTGGCGCTGACGGGCCCCCCCCGCCCCTCTTTCTCTCTCTCTCTCTCTCTCCCCGGTGCCAGTGCTGAACCAACTGGAGGAGCTGCTGAGCGACATGAAGGCGGACGTCACCCGCCTCCCCGCCACCCTCTCCCGCATCCCCCCTATCGCCGCCCGCCTCCAGATGTCGGAGCGCAGCATCCTCAGCCGCCTCGCCAGCAAGGGCACCGAGAGCCACCCCCCGCCCGTAAGTCACAGCCCCCACCCCGCCTTGGGGACGTTCTCCCGCCTTGGGGACATCCTTTCCTCGTGGTGGGGATGGCCTTCGCCCTGGGGACATCCCATCCTGGGGGCGTGCCTCACTTCGGGGACGTTTTGTATCTTGGGGACATCCTTTTCTTGGGGACATCCCCCCCCAGCTTGGGGACATCCCTCACTTTAAGGATATCCCACCCTGGGGACATCCCCTCTTGGGGACACCTTTTCCTTGTGGACACCTCTCACTTTGGGGACATTCCTTGCCTTGGGGAGACAATCCCCCCCATTTTGGGGGAACATCCTTCACCTTGGGGATATCCCTTCCCTGGGGACCTTCCCTTCCATGGGAGACACCCCCCCCACCTAGGGGACCCTTACCTGCCTGCCTTGGGGACCCAGATTGGGGACACCCTGTCCCCGGGCCACCCTCTTGGGGACATCCCCGTCTTGGGAGCACCCTCAGCCCTGGGGACAGACAGGGATGTCCCTCCTGTGGGGACACCCACCTCGGGGAGCCCCATCGGACCTTTCCGGAAGCGCCTCCCCCCATCCTGGTGGCAGCAGGTGGGGCACGGCGGGGGGTGACAGCAGTGTCCCCATCTCTCCAGACCTTCCCGCCGGGGCCCTATGCCACCCCCCAGAGCTATGGGGGCACCTTTGGGACCCCCCCGGCCGGAGCCCTCCCCCCTGGAGGGGCCAACTACAGCCAGATGCCGCCTGGCTCCTTCATCACTGGTGAGCACCTGGATGGGTGGGGGGACACCCCAACACCTGGGTCCGTGGGTGGGGGGGTGTCCCAGGGCAGCTGGGTCCCTGGCGGGGTGGGTCCGGATGCCTGGGTTCTTGGGTGGGGGGTCTGGACACCTGGGTCCTCGAGCACGGGAGGGTCCCGGACACCTGGGTGCCACAAAGGGGGTGTCCCAGGGCACCTCAGT